AAAAACCTCAAGAGGAAGTGTGACAGGGAAGAGGCCCCAACACAAGGACAAGCACACGGGAGGTCAGCGGGGGACACCGGCCTGGTGATCCCAACAACACATACACATGACAAGGCAGAGCCCACACGGAGAACCGTCCGTCCTCTTGAAAAACACCCAAATCAATAACAACGTATCTCCGCTCCATTATTTTCAATACAGGCTTTAATTCACAATGCACTCAGAGGGCAGGGAAGGGAGGGGAGGGACCAGGGCACTGTTTGGAAGGGGCAATTATGCTAAACACACTGACCTTTTGCTGAAAAGTTGGAGAAGGGACAGGTGGCAAAGAAGCCACCTCTTTCCCGTCGCTCCATCCCCACCCCAACTCTCCAAAGCCCGTCTCTGTTTCTCGGCTCATTTGGTCTGATAGGAACATGTCAGGGGTTTGCTGTCTGTTTTTGACACTTGAGGCTGTGAGTAAAACGACCCCCAACTCTTCCTCGTCTCTGTTTTTTAAGTTTCTTTTATTAATTGATTTGTTTTAGAACTCCCGTTTCAGCTCCATGCGCACTTTCCCATCGTTTTTGGGCTTAGTTAGGGGAGAGCCGGTGCGGGCGCTGCCCTCAGCACCGCCGTGAGGGAAGGGGAGCTGGCAGTCAGTCTCGGGGCGCGCCCTCCTCCCCGGGGCCCCCTTCCCAAAGCCCGTCGGGTCTCCACAGGCCGGGGAAAGGCGTGCGGCTGTAGCCCGCGCTGTAGTCATAGGACACCTGGTGCGGCGGCGGCGGGGGTAGGGCGCAGTCCGAGAAGAAGGGGGCGAAGGAGGCCAAAAGGCCAGGCCCGTCCTCCCCACCTGGAGAGTCCGCGGCGGCGGGGTACAGGGCGCGCAAGGACACGTTCAAGGTCAAGCCGCCGCGAGGCGCAGCCAGGGACGGCTTCTTGGTCGGGGGGCAGGCCGGGGCGCTCCAGGGCTCGGGGTACAGTGGGCTCCCCACCATCGCGGGCGGCGGCTCAAAGAGACCGGGCTCCAGCTCCGGGGGTCCCCGCAGGACGGCGGCGCCGGTGGGGAACACATCGAGAGGATCCGCGGCGAGCAGGACTCCCGCCTCGGCGCCGGCGTCGTAGTCGGGCCCCAGCAGCTCGAAGAACTCCACGGCCTCCGCGCCCTTCTCCAGCTCGCCCAGGCTCAGGCCGGGCCCCGACGGGCTGCAGCCGCCGCCGCCGCCCGCCCGGGAAGGCTCGGTGAAGAAGGACGGGGGCAGGTTGCGGGCCCGCAGCGGGACTTTCCTGGAGCTGGGGGC